ACGTAGTTTTTAAAAGGGCCGTAGACTCCTACATCCATAGGTTGCAAATTGTGGGAGCAATGGGAGGGAAACTATAACATGATAACATTGTTTTCTTTGGCTTTTTCGACAACTGCGATATTCACATGTGAGCAATGATTATCGAGCAGTAACAGAACTGGCTCTTTCTTGGTAGGTTTCGAGTGTTTGATAAAATGATCTACAAAAATCAAAAATTCTTTATCAGTCATCCACCCTGAAGAATTACCAGCTCCAATGCAATCTTGAGGACCACCGCGAATGAACATTTCTGAGTATTTAAGCCGGGGAAAAATGAACATCGGCCGTCAGTAACTTACAGCAATCTGGGGGCAAATTGTAACATGTTACAACAAACCCCGAGGTTTTGTTACAACTAGCCCCTTGATATAGTTCCTAATATTTATCACGATAACTATTAAATCAACTTAGTAATCTTGAAAACTGTTATACAACATCATAAATAGTTATATTTTAGCATAAAATAAAATACATAAATCTTCAAATCTATGAAAACAGTGAAACTAACAAAAAATTTACGTTAGTAAAATTATAGGTTACCTGTCAACAATAAAGCGTTTGCACACACCCACTCACTGAGCCGCCTGGCGGGACCCTGGCTGTGGTAAAGTGGCGTGGCACGTTATAAGTTTAAGATTAGGTTAAAAAAAAACGTGAATAAAATTCAAATTCCTATTGAAAAAGGTCTGTTACTATTTACCCCTGTTACAACAAGCCCCACGCTCCCCTATTCGGTTCGGATTTTAGATAGATGTACGAGTATACAGGGTGGGGTAATGTTTATAATTTGAGTAAGATAAGGAGAAAAAAAGAGGTTTTTAATTAATTTATATATAAAAGAAGAATTTCAAAATTCTTTATATTTCTTAAGAATCTTTAATGAGCAAAATTCTGTAACACAACTGTTTTTTTGGGCTTTAGTTGTGCTAGTTGTAATAGAATGTTCTTTACTGTGTTATTAAGTATTTATTGCACTGCTTTTTGTGAATATGTGTACAGTTTTCCCATACGATGACCAGTACTTGTATTTATAACATCACTTAAAACAGCCAACATTCAGACGTAATCAGTGCGTCCATCGAAGCTGTTTCCTTTAGCTCGCGTGAAAGTTTTTTGAGAGGTCGTTTAATAAGTACTTTATGCAAAATGGCGTCCATCAAAGAATGCAAAATCCGCTAACGCACGTTATGAAACGCGATTTAATCCTATCAAATAAGGCGGAATTATGAGATAACACGTTATCTGTTTTACTCTTTGTTTGTTATAGTTGTTATTTTTGTCTTCGGTCATATACCTCTGTATACTGAAAACTTTTACAAACAAACAATACTTTTAATTATGTATGTAAATTGTTTTATTAAGGTTTTATCTGGTTTGAATTTTATAACTGTATTATTCAACGTATTTTATTGCACTCAATCTTTTATTGCTTTGATACAAAAACAAACAATGTTATCCCATTAAATGTTTTGTTTGATTTCTAGAAGATTCTAGTTTTTGTTTTAATATACTTCTCGGGAATAAATTAATCACTTATGTAGCAGTCCCTACGTAGTAGACGTGCGGCGCTACGCCGTAGCTAGACGTTTTATACATGACGCTTAAGAAAGGATATATTTTGCCTACGGCTGTATTCTAGAAATGTCAAAAATATAGTGTTATATGTTTAGTATGATTTTTGAACCTTACTAAAAGCAACAAAACCTTACTATATTCAAATATGTCGAAGATTAGTCTAGTCATGTATAAAATATAATTTTAAATTATTCTTGTTTTCTTACATTAAAATTATCCCCACACATCAGCATGTCTTTGTAATAATTCGATTATGCCTAGCTTAATAAAGGTTTTAGTATATTTTCATCTACTTTTACTATACAAATAATACCAATATGTGTACATCACAGTAGAAGATAAGATATATAATAAACCTAAAAAAATACAGGTTATTTCATGTAACTTAAAGTTTTATAAATATACAAGTGCAGTTTTTTTGTCAAGTAATCGTCCGCTTCTTAGACTTAGTTTGATATGTTTATATTATAGGCTGTTGTAAAATTATGAAAGCCTTAAAACTCTTTACAAACATAAATTATTTAATAAAATCTCATAGCCGAAAATAGTACTCAGCGTAAGCTGGAAGTTTGTATTATTACCTATGTTGTTTTTCTCTTCAGTAAGTAATGTAACATAATAACATATACTTTATTTTATAATCTAAGCACAATCCAATATTTTTAAAAGTTTATTAATTGGACTTACCAACACCAGTCGCTAAAACTTGATTTATAATAGCCATTTATGTAATATAAAAATAAACTTGTCAGAACACAATGTAATGCACATGAACGCTTGCGAACGTATTAATTAAATCAAATCAACGTGGAATGTTATAGTGGTAATGTTAGGCATGTGTATATAAAAAGCGATACAATTTAAGCTTTTTAATGCTTTTTATTGGAATGAAATATGCCTAATAATATACATTTATTCTATTAGATGATCTTCGGTTTTATGTCTAGACAAATTAAGTAATGTCAAATATGCTATGCATATAATAGCGGGGAAGTATGTCAGAATAGAAGTGTACGGGACATATTATGTGTCTCTACACTTTAGATTTTTATAACTTGAGAACGTCCAAATGTGAAGTGATGTTTTAATGACTTGTTAGGGTTAGATTCAGAAGCGAGATTTTGCTAGAAGTAAGACTTCCGTAGGACAAAATTGAATACTTTCTGAATGTCACCCTTACACTGCCAAACTCCTGTCGCGGTGTGCAGGTTCTACTATACACAATAGCAACATTTTTTATTTTATATCGAAGAACCAACTATGGTCAGAACGGATTTTGTTTTATTCATTCGTTAAGGCCGATTCACATAACAGTTAAGCCACAGTACCGGCACAGTGCAAAATTTTCTTTCATACATTCTCTATGAACGCATCCCCAGTCAGTGTCAGTGCCGACACCGACAATCACGACGGATTCGTTGACAACGATATTTTTGCCGGATCACTGACGCCGCGTTATTATTTGTTACATTTTGTTTATTGCAGAAGAATATTGAAACAGCTCTCTGACATTTTAAAATATTCAAAATATTTTCTTTCATATTTAACTAATTCTTTGTATAATGTGATGAATTCTCTTTCCGCCTCTCTTAATTGCCATGCTTCACGCACCCATTTTCTTTTTTTTTCCTTGATGCTACTTCTTCTTCGTCTAAAGCAACAGCTAGCATTGCTAGCTCCGTAGTATTGAACAGAGCCATAATCACGTTACTTGACGATAGAACCTACGACCCCAAGACCACTAGGCCAACACTATGTCACTTACCTTTGAAAATCCTTCTTCATATTTTAATTAGTTCTTTGTTGTGAATGACTACCTACTTAATAAACACGTCATATTGTGTCTACTTTCTTTTGTCGACTCACACTATCGAAGACCAAAGTACAATATTTTTATTCTCTACATACAATTTGATACTTTACGTCACTATTTACCCCCCTACGTTTTACTATTTTACATTTAAAAAGTACATCTTAAAGTATAGGACATTCATAATTTTATAGCTTTATTAGGTTTGTACAGAGATTTCTCTCTTAAACTCTACAGATAAAGGAGGATTTTTACGTAATAACTATTCAGATTATATTGTTACATTTTATACTCAAATGAATAGAACGCATATAATGAACAACTAACAAATATCCAAATTTGAACGAGCTCCTCTTAAACCTAAATAGCGCGTTTGAATCACGGCTGTGCACCAATTACGTCTAAAATTTATCCGTCTGAATCTAAATCATCATTAACTTCTGCTTTCTCTTGTTCTTGTTTATATATATATTATATAAATTTTCTTATTTTTTGTAATTTACACCCCTTTCATCATTTTCAACCCTTGTCAATATCTACAGTTATTCAATAGTTTCAAATTAAACAGAATCATAAAAGATCAGTGGAATAGGCCTACCGGGGAAACCACATTAAAAAAAACGCGCTAAGTACACTACCTCAAAGGTGGCGTGGAAACGTGTGCATATTATGACGATTACAACTCTTTCAACTTTTTGAATCGTTATATCTCAAAAACGGTGGCTCTTAGGAAAAAAAGTATTTTGGCATTTTTTATAGATAATTATCTGATCTAAAATTTTTGTCAAAGCTAATTTTATGATAAAACTTACCATTTTGCTGAAAATCGCGAAAAACCCGTTTTTGTGATCTTTGACCCGGAGTAAATTTTTTTGCACGTGCCGGATCGATGAGGACTTTTCACATTTCCTTTATAATAGTGTATTGAGCAATCCTACCAATATTCAGCCAAGTGGGAATTTTTGTAACCTTGGATGTCTAAATTGACCGGACTACAGCGAATTAAGCGTGGTTGCAATAACGGAGCATCGGCCTAATACATTTCTGTCTAACAAGCTAAACAATTAGTTTACATAACTACTGAGCTACGAAGGTGTTTAAAGTTTGTGTAAGGTATTTAGACTCGCTAACTGTAGCTCCCGTATGTATGAAATGAATTGAACTAATACGAGTTTACGATACCCTAAGAGCATTAGACTTATTTAAGTGAATTAGGATTCAATAATCTTGATGACGATTTAAAGTGATAAAGCGAGAAACTACACAACAGACATTATCGTCCTCTCTCTCTCTCTCTGACCACGACTTCGTAAATAATAAATTCGCTTTTATAACTGTGAAGAAGCTTAAGGTACATTCGCAAACACTTTTAAACTAATTTATATAATTTTCAAACTTAATCTAAATTCTATTTAATAAACCTAATCTTCAGGCAATAGCCTCGGTGAGTTTATTTGACATCGTATTTGTAAAACTTATCTAAGCCTTACAAACAAACCGGAATGATGTAGAGTATTATTAGTTTTTGCTGTTATTTATATGAATAATATCATGTGTAGTGGGTGTCTGAGTCAAAATGAGTATTCGAAATCAAGTATTCGCCTGTTCCGTAGGTAAGTTTGTGAGATTTCAATTTTAATAACCAAAAAGCACATGTTTTTTGTTATCACCCATTATTCATAGATCATTTATATAAAAATCTAGTTACATAACTTATTTACAAAAGTTTGTTCGTCATTGTTCGGATAAGGTTTGTATGATGTAATTTAAAAAGTAGTTTTTTTTAAATTTCATAATATGAAAAGTGAGAGAATGAATGAGACCGAGTAGTGTGAAAGATCTTCGATATATTGAAGATTTCATGCTGCGACCGAATCTACAATACCTAGATTTAAATAATCTTAAAAATTTATTTCTTGGTAGAAAACTATTCTTACATAATATTACGCTCACGATTTCACGGATTTTTCTGTTTAATTGAGTATTAACTGAGCCAAAATATTATTATTATTTATTAATATTAATATTATTGGGTATGTTTTTAGAAATTTTTAATGGTAAAATTTAGCTGGGAATTTACGCCAGGCCCTCCCGAGCACTAGTACTTATAATTGACGTAATACAAAAATTCTGAAATTTATGCTGAATAAATGTTTAAATACAGTTTGTTTTTGTAATTAACAGATATAGATAGAAAGTAACATTAACAATGCAAAATCAATTAATTTCAGTAATTATGTATTAATTTGCAACACAATGTTTTAGTTATGCAATACCGTGCTAAATAATTCAATAAAAAAAATGGCTTAATCATCTAGAGCATCGTGTTCGATTCTTAGGAAATATTTTAGTTGTTTTTCGCCTCTGGTGGTTAGAGAGGACCCGCTTATTTGTTCATTCTCTCGTACCTATAGTAGACAAAACATATAATATAACAATCCGGCCATAGAAAAGACTATAAAATGGAAATGGCCTTGTTGGAGGCATGACTTGGTTCTTTACGTTAAATGCGTCTTCCAAGTGTACAGACTTTTGTCTGTTGTGTAAGATCTTTCCTACGATTTAATTTCCTTAATTCCTTAATGTTTTATTTTTATCGCGTCACTATATGATTTAAGGTAGTCCGTGCAACGCCGCGGCAATGTACCAACGAAAATTTCTATCTATCTGCAATTAATACTCTCTTATAAAATATCCTGCGTTGCACTCCTGTCAGGTTTATAATTCGGTTCATCCACTTGCTTATATACAGGTTGGCTAAATAGTCGTGGATCAAACGCAAATAGGGGATAGATGAGTTCATCAGCTGCAAAAAATTGTTCTACGGAAGGTCTCTCAGCTCAACCCCTGCAGAGTTATAATTTATTTTGCGTTTTTGCGAGAAAATTTACTTTTTTTACATATTCTTATTAAAATTCGGAAATATCTACATCCTGTATCTTTTTCATAATATCCACTAGATTGGTACTGATAAGTTCTTGCGTTAGACATACTATTTATAGTTGTTTATTGAGTGTATTGAAGATAATATTTAGTTATAAGATATAAATATTTTTCAAAACATAACTTTTTCTTTACTTTGGACCCCACTGTGAAAAGAAAATTCTTTACCGAAAAGTGTACCTGTATTACAAGTTTTGGCGCATTTAATAGGGTTTCTGAAAAGGTGGCACATGGCCATGAGTCGCTCTTATATCACGACTTTTTGACCATCCTGTATAATATATCAAGGAAACAGAAATATGACCAAACATCAATAGAACTCACTATTGATTATAGTTCTCTCAATGTAATATCAACTTAACTAGTTATTTCTTAATTCTTTTTCAGTGAGCTACCTTTGTTTTTCCACCGGAATCATCTCCTGCTGGCCATCATCAGTGATCAAAGTATTCAGCTCCGAGAATACAACATTAAATAGAGTAATGACGGAGACTGAAATATCTCTTCTTGGAGGTTTACCGTCCTTCGGGGCTCTTTGTACCATTCCTTTAATGGGGAAGGTTTTTGATACATTGGGGCGCAAATATACGATAGTTATGATTTCTCTACTTCAAGTGGTAAGTGTCTTATCGAGTGTGGATTGATTAAAATGATAAATAATAAAGAATAAGAAAAATTTGGATACCAAGGCCAACTAAAGAAAATGAAAAGCCAGCATAAATCACCCTGAAGCCGGTTTAATAGAATTCCTAATATATGTGGAATAGGAGTTACGAGAATGTTTAGAAATATATCAATTAAACATATATAACGACATATGTCTGACACAGAAACTATTTATCGGCCATCCTGTATGTCTGTGGCAGTTTTATCACGCACATATACGGAATTGAGCTACAGTGCCCTTCCCACGGAAATCAAAATAAAATAAAATTGATCCATATTTTATTAACATTTTTTTTATACATGTGTCTTTACTAAGACGTCATGGAACATTACAATCTAGCTTAACTTAAGACAAATAATTGAAGTCTTACCTAATTTACTAAAGGTGTACGATCCGACTGCTGGATTAGTGCGCTTATCGGTTATTTGCTAAAAACCAATTTTTTATGTAAATGTATAATTAGGAGAATGTATATTGTATATGTACCAAGTTGCCTATCAAAATTTGGCCGCTAGTATTTTTAATGAAATTATTTTGAATTGATTTTTGGGAAAACATTTCGTTCACTTGTTATTTAACAATTTACATGAAGATTATAAAAATCACAGATGCCGTTGCCCACCTGGCCGCACATCTTCATAGCCAGGTGTAAACAGGTATGATTGCGGTACATTTATACGTTCATAAAGTACATTTATTAATTATTATTTATCAAATTGAAGCTAATTTTTTTCTATTAATTATCGTATAAGGGTGCCTAAAAATCAATTCAAAATAATTCCATTAAAAATACTAGCGGCCAAATTTTGATAGGCAATTTGGTACATATACATTCTCCTAAATATAAATATACATAAAAAAATAGTTTTTAGGAAATAACCGATGAGCGCACTAACCTGCAGCCGGATCTCGTACTTGATAAGATATTTAACATGAGAAAGATGAATAACATAATACGTGTAAAAAATAATAATATTTTTTAAATCTAGATCATATTCAGGTTCAAAGTTGAGACATAGCACTAAGTATGACTCCCAAATGTCCTGGTCAAAATCGCAGCTTATCAAACGAACTCGTCCTCTACGTCCTTGAGTAGAAGCAGTATTTTCTTTCTTTCAGATCGGGTGGTCAATAGTTTGTACGTTTGATTACGTGTTATCAACCCTTATTGGCTTCCTCATTACAGGCCTATCGTCCTGCATTTACCTTTCTGTGCCGGTATATGTTGGAGAGTTTTGTCAAGAGAGCATTCGAGGTAAAAATTATTACTACGTGGTAAAGATATGAACTTGTCGATGCACCTATGAACCTTAAAAAAGGTATTCAATGAGTTCTAGAAAATTTACGTCGCTGTACATCGACAATGCCCCCAGAGACTTTTTCCTGTACTCAAACCCCAAAAGAATGCTCGCTGGACAGAAATGTATACGTACGAACTATTCAGCTCAGTTATACATCATATTATATGTCTTATTTCATCACAGCGTAAACTAAATTTGTCAAAAAAATTCGTAAATACTATAGTTCCGGTAAATACGAGTACGTGACTGAATCATTGTAATTTGTTATAAATTTTATATTACTTACGATTATAATAAATGCAAATTAAAATTATTTGATCGTCTACTTTTCTTGTATCAGGTACAATGACATCAGGCGTATTAGTCCTATTTCCTGTGGGTTGGATGTTCAGCTACCTGCTGGGAATGTTGGAGTACCATACTATGAACTACGTCTGTCTCACTATAAGTATTGTAGGGACTCTGCTGATGTTCTACTTGCGAGAATCACCTTTATATCTAATGAAAAAGGGTTTGGAAAAGGTCTGATATAATAGTTTAGTATATTCAGAACTAGGACCTCATGACGACACTCTGTGATAGCCACCTTGTCACCAACATACAATTTCTGTTAATAGGAAGCGGCAGAAGTGATAGCCCACTATAGGGGAATAAAGGTTAATAATAAAAAGGTTCATCGGGAAATTGAAAATATCCAACGTGCTCTCAACCCTGTGTTTGATGGTAAGATGTTTAAGGATTTCCTTTTTGTTGAAGTTATACTTCTTTAGGCGCGTTATGAAAAATTAATGAGAGTGAAATTTTACGATGCGCGCGCACCGTGACACAAAATTAACAGAATGAAGTTGCCCACGGAAGATGCTACGGCATTTGACATAATTTAAAAACAACATTCTAATAATAATAGAATTTATGGTACACTTAATGTAAGAGAATAATAATAAATATTTATTTATTTAATTTTTCAAAATGTAAACTGAACTTTATTGACTATATATATATTTATGGAACGACGCACGTCAAGGTGATACGGGCGGAATTTCGTATTCTACCATTGATGAAACTCGGCTGCAGGTATTAATCCGAATAGCTCCTCTGAACTTAATAATGATCTGAATAATATTATGTTTAATTAGTATTAAGCTACTGTAAGAAAAGAAAATAAGGAAATAAACAAATTGAGCACTGTTGACCTAGTGGATTCAGCGTGCGACTCATCCTCATACCTGAGGACGTAGGTTCGATCCTCGGCTGTGCACCAATGAACTTTCTTTCTATGTACGCGTTTAACATTTGCTCGAACGGTTAAGGAAATCGTCGTGAGGAAACCGACATGTCTTAGACCCAAAAAGTCAACGGCGTGTGTCAGGCACTGGAGGCTGGTCACCAAGCTATGGTTAGATTTAAAAAATGATAATGAAACAGATTCAGAAATCTGTGACCGAGACTCAAAGAGGTTGTTGAGAATCAGCACCACTGATTTATTAACTCCTCTGAACACTCTTCATGGTAAATGCTGAAGAAGATGCAGAGATACCCCACATTTCTTTTGAGATACAAATGTTTATTGTATTTCGGTAATTTCCTTTTGTTTTGTCTATGTTTTAAAGAAACGTCATAAGCGCAGCTAAATAAATAGAAGAAGAAAGAGTAACGTCTTTTTTTGTATGTAAGCTACAGTTGGCTAATCCCGGAGAACACAGTAGTAAAAGTAAAATCTATTTTTTTAGGAAAAATAATGGAAGGATATTATTACCTGGATGCCATGCATTTATTGCATACTACATATGTATGTAGCATGCATGTGCATACTATAGCCAGCCTGCATTACAATGAAAGCTATTTTCTTTCGTCTTCGACGATTTAATCATTGTTGTTATGTATTTAATGGAAATATAGTTATAATAGTTAAAAAAATCTTTATGATTGTTGCTATCTATTCCAGGAAAGTACAATTAGGTAAACGAGCTTTAATAACATTGTGTACAATATAATTTCCGTAGAATAAAGACATCCTCGTGTTTTTTTTTTATAATAAAATGTATAAACATTCTGAAAAACATAACAATACACTACAACATCATTCACATTCATCAACATTTACGGCTGTGTTCCCCGGTGCAAGCGAACTTTACGGTTATAATAACGTTGTCTATTAAATGGTTAAAGTTCGCCGACTTACTCTTGATAATTTAAGATTGGCGACGCTACGTTAATAGAATTTGGTACAGTTGTAGAAAAAAAAAATCATAAATACAAAACAGAAATATTCCTAAGTGTGTGTGATATGTCTTTATGTTTTAGATGTTACGAGTGAAACAGAAAAACTGCACCTGAACAAGAAGGAGAATAAAAGCCTTAGCACATGGCAATTTTTAAGTAAGTTTAATTCATTCACATATACCTACGCGCATAAATAAAATTAAGTCGGATTATTTACACTAATTGTAACTTAAGAACTATTTTATTGTTTATGCGTGAATAACTCTTAAAATTAGAAGATAAAAATCTATTTCTATCTTACTTTTTTGTTCTTTATATTTTACATAAAATCTTATCTTTCCTCCAAGATTTTGTTCCCCAGTGAGACTTTTGGGCCGTGTGGTTCAAGGGCACAGGCACTTATTAAAGCTGGCGCCTGGTAGATAGTACCGTTGACCCCCTCATGACTGGTGCTCTCCTCGCTCGAATAAATATCGATACACAGCAAGGAAATTCTGCCGCCCTTTATTACTTCATTCGGTGTATTTTAAGCTGTACGATTTTCGCCGAGTCGCTAGAAACTACCTACTAATAAAATACCTACTTTACCTGATCTGTCCGTCTGCTATTATAGTATCATAAGAGTATATCACTATTACTACGGAAGTTCAAATAAATAAAACGTTATTGTAGTTTTACTGTTTCTAAGCGTATTTTTACTTCTTACAGAAAAGTCTCGATCAACGCGTCGCGCTCTTCTATTATCGCTGGTCCTCTACACAGCTGCAATATTTCAGGGTCAAATAGTAGTTCAAGTTTATGCGGAACCGCTATTTAGCTTAGCGGTTCCTAGTATGTCTGCTACTCTCTCTAGCGTTTTATTCGCTGTTGTTAACATATTTGCGGCACTTTTCGTGGTCTATTTGGTGGACAGTTCAGGAAGAAGGGTGAGTTCACTCAGAATAATGTATCGACACACTAGGCAGGCGATTTTATTGAAACTGCCAATTCACCGAGGAGGTGTTGTTGCACTACTCTGTGTATGTTGGGCTTCTACAACACATAGATGGATGTCCGACCGGCGCCAGCTCAAGACCGAAAGGTAAAGCTTTCGGTCGGTTAGTCACCAAAATGTTATCATTTACATAATTTATTAAATTTTAAATTAATTTTCAAAATTTGTAAAGTTTCACAACAGAAGAACCCTCTGTGCCTGTCAATACCAAATCATGTTTTTTGGGTTATCAGCCCACTAAGCCATTAACAGCATCTTACTTAACTATATTAGCCTAGATGAGATGTACACCGTACATAATGTTTGATATTTATATATTCTACTAAACTTGTTCTAGCCATTGATGATATACTCGTCAATTTGCACGGCGGTATTTGCGGTCGCTCTTGGCTCGCAAATCCAGTTCAGCTGGGCTCCTAACTGGGTCACAGCCGTCTTCATTTATCTCTTCTGCTTCACCTATACTACGGGGGCCGGGACAATACCCTTCACTATGAGCGCGGAGATATTCTTGCCGGATGTGAGTTAATTAAAACAATCTTTTTGAAATTATACATATTCCAAGCCATCCACAATCCGCGATTTTCGGATAAATACTAGCAGCTGAGTTTCATAATCGAACGTTGAGGCATAATACAAAATTCCACCAGTATCACCCCGACGTCCGTCGTTCCACAACTGAGCGTTTTTAAAGGCAGTTGGCGCGAACCACCACTATGAGGAACCAGCTGTCCACTAATGTTTTACCCAACCAATTTGACTTGATACTTGAAGGACTCAAGAAAAGAGCGTACCAATTCTTAAGAGACCGGCTTGTGAGCCCTCTAGCAATGTGAGTGACAAAGGGCGGCGGTTTTACTTAACAACAGATCAGTCTACAGTCCCTGTTGGGGCTGCCCAAACTCAGCGCTAATTGAGGTTTCATTCTCTTTAATATATTTTTATTTGCAATATCTTTAATATTTTCTCCATTTTCTTCTTTCAGATAAAGAATTTTGCAACTATAGTCTCTTTCGAGTACCTGTTCCTTGGATTTTTCTTCGTTTTATTTGTTTATAATCCTGTTGTCGCTGCAGTTGGTGAGTCACTACTCAATTATTATTTAATTTTTTTTTTTTTTTATGTGATAGGAGGCAAACGGGCAGGAGGCTCACCTGATGTTAAGTGATACCGCCGTCCATGGACACTCACAATGCCAGAAGGCTCGCAAGTGCGTTGCCGGCCTTTCAAGAATTGGTACGCTCTTTTCTTGAAGGACCCTAAGTCGAATTGGTTCGGAAATACTTCTGTGGGCAGCTGGTTCCACATAGTGGTGGTGCGCGGCAAAAACTGCCTTAGAAAACGCTCTGTTGTGGAACGACGGACGTCGAGGTGATACGGATGGTATTTTGTATTTTGCCTTGACGTCCGATGATAGACTCAGCTGCAGGTATTAGACCGAACAACTCCTCCGAACACTCTCCATGGTAAATGCGGTAGAAGATGCAGAGAGATCCCACATCTCTACGCAACGCCAAGGGATCAAGCCGCACGGAAAGTGACTGGTCGTCGACGATTCGAACCGCTCTTCGTTGAATACGGTCAAGTGGAAGGAGCTGGTACTGGGGAGCTCCCGCCGAGAGGTGAGAGCAGTACTCCATATGGGGCCGAATTTGCGCTTTATATAGTTGCAAGCGGTGGCCCGGAGTGAAGTACCGTCTCGCCTTGCTGAGCACACCAAGCTTTTTGGAGGCTAATTTAGCCTTTCCTTCCAGATGACCGCGAAACTGAACGTTATTCGATATACGCCCAGTATTCCGATGCTAGCTGAGGCTTTAAGGAGAGTGTCTTCAAAGAGGGGAGTAGCGACAAAGGGAGTTTTTTTTAGCGGAAAACGCGCATACTTGTGTCTTCTTGGGGTTAAATTGGACTAGATTTAGTCTACCCCAGTCCGAGACTCCACGTAGAAGAGTTTCGACTTCAGACACAAGTTTGTTCCGGTACTCATCGACAACAGCCCGAGAAATACCTGCCCGGCCAGGTAAAAAGTATCCCCAGTACTGTCGTCCGCATAGCAATGAATGTTGGTGCTGCAACATATCATTGATATGCAGAATAAACAGGGTCGGGGATAGGACACAGCCTTGTGGGACACCAGCATTCACAGGTTTCAGGTCGGAGCATGCTCCGTCGATGACGACTTTGATGCTCCGATCAGCGAGAAAGCTGGAAATCCAGTTGCATACTTTCTCAGGGAGCCCGTAGGCTGGAAGCTTCGAGAGCAGTGCTCTGTGCCACACCCGATCGAAGGCTTTCGCTATGTCCAAACTTACCGCCAGCGCCTCCCCCTTGGACTCAATTGCCTCTGCCCACCTATGGGTAAGGTATACAAGGAGGTCACCAGCTGAGCGACCACGACGAAAGCCGTACTGAGAATCGCTAATCAACTGGTGGCCCTCTAGATACCACAAGAGCTGGCAATTAATAATGGTTTCCATTATTTTGGAGAACAAGGAGGTTATAGCTATTGGGCGATAGTTGGACGGATCAGAGCGATCGCCTTTTTTAGGGATCGGATGTATCGAAGCGATCTTCCAGCACTTCGGAACAGTGCCGAGCGTGTAAAGGTACCGGAAAAGGCGCGTTAGGACCGGAGCCAACTCAGGAGCACAAGTACGCAGCACAATTGGAGGGATGCCATCGGGCCCGCTCGACTTATGGATGTCCAAGGAAGACAAAGCTTTACGGATAGCACGTTGCCGGAATATAACTTCGGGCATCGTAGTATCACATCGCAATAATGTCGGTGGTTCCTTCCCTTGATCATCCAAAGTGGAGTTCGACGCAAAGAGACAGCCTAGAAGATCGGCCTTCTCTTTCGCGGTATGGGCCAGTGAGTCATCCTCCCTATGCAGTGGTGGAATTGAGGGCAGACAGAAATTCCCTTGGACAGCTTTGGCAAGAGACCAGAAGGCTCGAGTTCCCGAAGGGAGGTGGGCCAATTTCTCACCAAATCTGGCAACGTGCTCTGACTTTGCTTTAGCGATTTCTCGCTTGAAGGACCTGGAGGCTGAATTGTATGCTTTTTTACGTTCGCCGATAGTCACATCACAGGATGTCACCGCTTCTGCCCAGGCTTTAAAGCATTCACGCTTACGGCGCAAAGCCGCTTTGCAAGAACACCTAAACCAAGGCTGGGACTTGCCACCGACCGGCACCGCAGAGAATGGAATAAAGAGTTCCATACCCTGCAGGACCACCTCGGCGACAGAGTCAGCGACGGCATCTGGAGTACTCGACGAAAAGCAAATGGGCCCCCAAGGGTAGGACGCAAAAAAAGACCGCATCCCATCCCAATCTGCTGACTTATAGTGCCACACGCGGCGACAGCCCGTGAAGCTAGGCCGAAGAGGGCGCGTGAACGGCACAATGCTCCGGACCACACAATGATCTGATGAACCCAATCGCGGTTTAACAGAGACTTGGTAGTTCTCCGGATGTGAAGTCAGCAGAAGGTCCAACAAAGAGGGTTTATGACCATCCTCATCTGGTATTCGCGTAATTGCAGGGACCATTTGCGTCAAGTCGTAAGCCAAAGCAAAGTCGTGAAAGGATCTTCCCGCATGATCGGTGGTTTCTGAGCCGAGCCAATCGGCATGGTGGGCGTTAAAATCGCCAAGTATCACGATTTCAGCGGTAGGAACCCTTACGAGCAGGGAATCTGTAGCCATTTAATAAGTATTATTGTCTTGTTTTGTAACTTTTGTTAGCGAGTTGTTTGCAATGCAATTTTTATTAATTTCCAACATTTTGTTTTTAATTAGACTCGAGCTTAAGTATTTGCGTAACAAATAAGAAAAAATATCTTAACTCGCTTTAGTTTTTGAGTACCCAAGTTCTAAGGTCTAATTTACAAAAATATTATGTATAAAAATATCAAAAAACTATATAAAGACAAGAAAAGGTAGCAGCCGTATATATTTTTGTTTTATATTTAAAATAATTTGGTTATACTAAATCAAAGAATGTCTTCAATTTGATAATTTATTACAGGATTGGGCCCACTCTTCTACATGTTTGCCGGAGTTTGTGTACTGACGACAATCCTCTGCTTCTTCCTCATGCCTGAAACAAAGGGATTGACTGTTGATGTCATACAATATCAATTTTGTTCACCGAAAGCGCAAAATAGCGAATAATCTATACCTATACTAGTCTTGCTATAAATACTGAAACAAAGAAAAAAATTCTATTGCAAATAACATTTATTACTTTTACAATGTGTTAGTTTAATACATAAATATAAAACAATTTATAATATAATTACAGCTTATTCGAAGTGGTCTCCATTGGCTGCAGTCCTTTAAACGTTGAAGCCAGTTATCAATAGATTTCCCATGGAATATCACTCTTTCCATGGGAAAATTCTTCACTGCCCGACGTGCGGATTGTTTTAGGGACTCCAAAATATCATGGGGTGTAGAGCAAGCCATACTCTCTAAAACTAACCATAAATCATGATCCAGCGGATTGAGATCATGCCTTAACGACGGCCAGTCTTCAGGTCTGGTGAAATCCGAAGCGTTCGTATCCAACCTAGTCTGCGTAGACCGAGCTTTATGACCTGGCACCTAGTCTTGCGGAAAGGACCATTCTTGGTTATTGAGCATGGTGTTGTTAAGGGGCTTCACAACCTTCTCAAGAATGGTATCTTGATACACTTGTAAGCTAATACCCCACCAAACCATCACTGAAGGCGGATAGTGCCCATGTTGCACTCCGTCGACTAATTGGGAAGCTTCGTTAGAGCTTTGAGCATAAATACGGTCATTTTGTGTGTTAAAACGTTGCTCAAATTTAAAACAATTCTCATCCGTAAACAACATTTTTCTGTGACCTCCCTTTGCGTACTGCGCTTCAGTAGTTGTTTCGGTTTCATCAGTTAAGAAATGACCAGTACGTCTCTTATAGGCTACAAGTCCTAAGTCATCATTTAAAATACGTAACATGGTTCTAGGTGCTATCTTCATCTCCTGAGATAAAATATTTTGCTTTCGGACAGGATTTCTTCGAATTATTTCCCTTACTGCTTTTACGACCTTTTTCTATCACAAACAGAGGTGGTCTCATTGTACGTATGGAGAGTTTTAAAAATTGCATTTGGCTCCATACCTACTTTGTGTAATGCAATCACAGCGATTCGGTTCTCTTTATCACCCCACTAAAATGGAGTGGGGTATTAAATATTAGATATTGAAAAAAATATTCTACACTGTATTGGCGCCACAATGAGAAAACGCAATGAACAATCATATAAAAATAACAGATTCCAAACTTCCAGATTCTAAATTTTATTTATTTAGTATTTATGGCCAGACTAAGTATATTTTACCTGGCAGAGAAGGTCTTGCAAACAAAGTTTCTATTTTACGAAGATTTGTAGCCAAATATTTACAAATCTTCGTAATTGAAAGAAAAACTAGAAACGTTCCAATCTTTTTTTTTTTAAATGGCTCTGACACGGTTTGTGCATTAGCCAGCGTCAAGTATAAGATTTTTATAATTCGTGCTTTTTGCCATAGAATTTCGATCATGTCCTCCATGTACGGTTAAAGGCACTCGCCCGGTACCGCACAACCCTCCCAAAGGCCGAGAATAAATTATAAATTAAATTAAAACTTGTCCTCGAACCGGGAATCGAACCCGGTACCCCTCACCTAGCTGCCACTTAATAAGACTGCTAGGCTATGAGGCCCCTCGTTCCAATCTTTCAAATTCTTGAACATCGTTGGAAACGTCTTCGCGCGAGAAAGGTAATGTTGTAGTCTAAGCGGAAAGTGGCTAAGGGTGGATTCGGCCAAACAAGAGTAAATCTTAATCTAAAGGTGCGCTTACACGAGGGCAATAATTGCTCGGCGACACGAATGGACCGATCTGGAGCAATTAATGGTGCAATTTCAATAAATTTAATAAATTTCAATAAATTATTTCGGCGATACTGCTTCTAATTGCTCCAGATATTTCATATAGCTCAATGTTGCAGATACGAATTGACGAATATCCAATGGACTTGGAAATTCCTAGCAATTTTTGTATATATCTCATTCGCACTTGTTTGTTTTGCGGCTTGCCGTCTTGCTTCCGCGGGGAGAGCGAGAGGTCTAAATAATAATGATTTCTAATTACTTTATTCAAAAGTAATTCAAAGTCTGTTCGTGACATTCTAGTAAAGTTTTTGAATATCATCTAATTATTTACACAATGAAAATTGCCTCTTTGCCAAAAACGATCGCACCCAGATACGCCTATTCCTTTTCTTTCTTTTTTTGTTTTTGATTAATAATAAAAAAGCGCTACAAGCCGCCGCAGCAAGAACAATGTCGTCCATAGAGAGCGAAAACTGAAATGCTCGTGTATGACAGTATTGCCTAGTTAATGAAGTTGCGCCATATCGCTCAATATTGTATTGCGCATTATTGATGCTTGTTGTCGTTACCGTAAATTGCTTGATGTAGTCGTGACGTCATAATTGACGAGTATTGACTGGAATTGAGCAATTGGGCAACTAATGCCCGTGTAAGCGCACCTTTAGAATAAATCGTCAGTTAATCGAGAGTAAATCAATTTTAGGTTTTACCATCTACAAATTCTAAGAATAGTGGGCCTATTCGGCAATTGTTACTATACCTATATAGGCATTGTATAATGAAACGTTTAAACAATTAATTATTTTTTTATTTATTTTACTATAATATTAAAATGAAATTCAACTAGGCTCAACAGAAGTTCCTTTTCAGACGACAGCCAATTAGCCTCACTCATTTTCACTTGCTAACGAAAAAGATAAAAGATAAAACCACACGACAAAATCGATAATTCCCTCAAACAAACGACAAATAAAAAAAAAATGTTAGTATTGTCTTTGATTAACATAACTTTTATTCATTTAATAAAACACTATTTTGACCGGATTGAAGTTATGTATTATTATAAATTTACAACTATTTAACATAATTTTAAATTTATCCGACGTTTCGCGTGCTTTACAGCGTGCGTGGTCACGGTGACAATTCAATTCAATCCGGTCAATTCGGTGGTTCAATCCGGTCAAAATAGTGTTTTATTAAAAAAAATTGTTGTCGTTTGACACCTGCCTACAGCTACTTTTTCACACTATAATACGGCAAAATCGAGTTGACATGATGTATGCTCTTACACTATCCCGTTGTAGAACAACATATTTTATTTGCCGATTTTTATTTTGGTTTACCATTCTCTCTGCTATTCGCGTATTGTTATTCCTAGCGCAATTATACTATCGATTACGTGGAGAAACGACTACTCGAGATTAAAATCATGGAATAGATTATTCCTGGTATAGTTCCAGGACCAAACTTCAATTTATACACGAGTATCCACCCTAAGTGTTATTATGTATAATTATTCGTGAATATATTCACGAATAATTATGTAACAGTGTTGTCAAATGCCGTGACTAACTCTAGGAGAAACTATTTGATAGATTTCAAGTGGGTTTAGCGATGGAAGACTCTTTAGACTTATTCATAATATTGTAATGATGAAAATTAAGTCGTTCTTTTACGTCTGCTATACCAAAAACATGGTAGCAAATATCTGTGCACAGCCCGGATTCGAACGCCAGACGTTGAGAATAAAACGCTTAATAACTCTAAAACTATGGTCGTGTAATTTAGCAAGTATATTTTGTTTTAATAAACTATTTTATAGAGAAACAAACAAAGTGTGTAAAATGTACTGAATCTTAAATAGTTATTATTAAAATTATTATATTAAGTAATTAGTTGTAATATATTGCAACATGAGAAATTTAATAAATTGATATTATAAAAATAACTGTTTATTTTGTTATATCCAAAAATAATTATCCAGTGGCGGTGTAATCTTACTGTTGCCTAAGCTTTTATGCAAGGTGTCCTTTGGCATACCAACAAGCACACATAGAAAAAAAATCGATACGTGCTCGAAGATATGCGAGTACAAAAAGTGGTTTAGTAAATGAAGATGCGAAGTGGGTTCGGCTTGAGTTTCATAATTGAGGTTGTGAGTTCAAACCCTCAGCTCAATGGACTTTGTTTATATGGGAATTTAATACTCGCTCGTACTGTCTAGGAAAATGACTTCAAACCGAAAAGTGGACGGCGTCTGTCAGGCACGGATGGTTGTACAGACACAGAAATCTGAGGCCCAGACCTAAGAGGTTGTAAAGCCACTAGTTTATAATAGTTTGAAAAGTATTACACGCTAGCATAAAATACGTGTCTCAAACATTTATATGAATATTCGTGTTGGCCAATGTTCAAATAAGCGCATCTTCAGCTATTGAAGTATAGAGTCAAATCTCTTTCATGTCACAAAACTTCTACCAATACCTACATAGAAACGAGCTTTCCATTCAACAATCGAACGTTTATTTTTTTAAATTATAGTTCATCTATACAATATGAGCTAATGCTTGCAGACATGTTCGCCTGGACCGATGCAAGCCGCGTAGGCCATGAGGTGAGGAATAGCATTCTGTTCGTAGAGGCCCGAGAACAAAGCGTGCTGCGGTCCCCGCGCGAAAACTGCAACGTCATCGCCGCCGTGCGTTTCCGACAGCAGCGGGACGTCCACGTGAGACTTCCACTCCACGGATCCTAGACGGTTACAATATTTTAATGATTATATTTTGTTTTTATATTTAATTTCTACTCGGCTGCTAGCATCAAATATATTCCTCACCGTAGTTTTCCTCCTTTGTGATGTCTACACGTTTTCGTTCAACGTGAGCTCGAAATCCAGGTCCATTGGTATAGGAGAGTGTCATGTACGGCACGCCGTGTCGGTCAGTGGCTCTTGACGTGCCCAGTATGTTGCTTCCACGTGCTGCGTAACCATTGAAGGACATGACGTGGGCGTGGTCTGCCGTTACCACGAGCAACGAGTCTGTCTCATCCAGCAACTCAGCCGCACGCGACACCGCCGCACTGAGTTCAATCGTCTCATCCAGTGCCATCTCCGCATTGTTGCCGTGATGGGCGTGGTCTATGCGTCCACCTTCGACAAATAGAAAGAAACCCTTATCGTTTCTCTGTAGCATTCGTATAGCAACTTCGGTCAGTTCAGCCAGAGAAGGCTCTGTTGTGGGATTGGTGAGCATGTTATACTGCAGGTGGCT